GTGCGGGGCACGAGAGTTTCTGGCAAGTTGCTAACTCGGGAACTAGAAAAGCTAGAAAGCTGAAATTTCAAGATGTTTTCTCACAGTAATGATGTCTAGTTTCAATTCTTTTAGCTAGAAGCATCTGCAAGAAAAACAGTGTCGTTTGCGACAAAAACCTGCGGGAAAGTGTGCTAAAAACGCAGCTTCGCACCGACGGACAGTGCGTTGACCAGTTGTCTTTCCTGAACTATCCGTTCTCCGTGTTTCCCCTGTACGTAATTTCGTCATGACATTGTGTGGTGACGTACAATGTTTGACTTTGCAGTGATCGTCTGCCACGTGGACAGACTCGTAAGCTGGCATCGTTGTTTGAGACAATGAATGATGCGGCCAGCGCAGAAATGTTCCGTGAAATGGTCCATTTGAAGCGGCGTGGCAAGTCAGTTCCGTCTGGAATCGGCAGCAAAGCGCATCAGCATCAGCGCGATTCCAGTGTCAGTATGGCGAAACCCATCCGAGGTTTTCTTTGTTTTCAGCCATTTGTAGAGGATCTTTTTGCGTCCTTTGTCTTGCTCTGTCTCGCTCACACAAAATAATTTTGTAAATATTTCAGACGATTCGAGCGTGCAGTTTGGATCCAAAGTAACTCCAGCAAATTTCGGCGTGTTCACCGCCCCCTATAAAACCCCTGTAGGCGGCTTTGCGTCTCCTTGCAAAAGCAGTCCAACCGGTGTTGCGACGCCTTACAAAAGCAGTCCAGCTGGTGTTACTACGCCTTACAAAAACAACTTGGATTTTGTCAAGACACCTCAGAAAAGTAATCTAGACGGTGCCATTACTTCCCAAAAATACAATCCAGACAGAGCTACGGCTCCTTACAAAACCAATTTTGATGGTATCACGGATGCTTGTAAAAGCAATTCAAACAATATTGCTGTTTCCTACGGCAGCGGCAAGGATGGTTTTACGGCTCTGCGCAAAAGTGGCCGGGATGATGTGACGACTATCTACAGAAGCAACAAAGAAAATTTCGCGGTTCCTCATAAAAGCAATCCGAACGATGTTGCGGCTTCTTATAAAAATAACGGGGAGTACGTCTCGGCTCCTCACAAGAACAGTTCAAATGATGTTATGGCTTCTTACGGAAACAACAATGGCCCTCGCGAAAGCAATCGAAACAACGTTGCGGCTTACAGAAGCAATGGAGAAGGTTTCTCTGCTCCCTACAGAAGCAACCCGGACGCTTCCACAGCTCCATACAAAAGCAACAGGGAACGTTTCACGGCCCCGCACAGCAAAACTTCCGAAAGTGCTGCGGCTCCCTACAGAACCAATGGAGGAGGCTTTACAGCTCCTTATAAAAGCGATCCAGCTGGTACAGATTCTCCATACAAAAACAATAGAGGAGGTTTCAGTGCTCCTTACGGAAACAATCCAGAAACTGTTGCAGCTCCATACAAAAGCGAAAGGGAAGTTTTCGCGGCTCCGCACAATAACATTATCGACAATGCGGCGGCCCCATACAGAAGTAATGGAGAAGACTTCAAAGCTCCCTATAAAAGCAGTTTAGTTGATGGTGATGCTCCGTACAAAAACAACAGAGAGCATTACACGGCTCCTTACAGAGGCAATCCGGAGGCTGTTGCAGCTCCTCCGTACAAAAACAACAGAGAGGGCCTCATGGTTCCGCACAGTAGTATTCCGGACAGTGCTGCGGTTCCGTATAGAAACAACGGAGAAGGCTTCACAGCTCCTTACAAAAGCAATCCAGACGGTGTGGCTCCCTATCGAGGCGACAGAGCTTTTAGTGGTGCTTATAAAAGCAGGCCAGATGCTCCTATAGCTGCTCATGAAGACTATTTGGACGATGTCGTAGATCCCTACAAAAGCAACGAGTTCAAGGAAAGAACGGAAAAAAGCAAGGAAATTGTTCCGGACACCTGCAGTGTACGCAAAATTGTGAATCGGTGAGGCATTTTCAATGTTTCGTCTCATTTATTATGCGTTTTGTGCTGTGTAAAAGCGTTACAAAACGCATATTGTCACGAGGTTGTTGTGTGTGTGTGTTTGTGTGTGTCCCACATTTTGTCCCGCACTTTCAACTCGCGAACCACAAAAGCTAGACGGCTGAAAT